CACACTCTGCAGCTTTGGGGACAGAGCCTTCTCAGTGGCAGCTCCAAGGCTCGGGAACTCCCTCCCCCAAGATCTCCGTGACTCTGAGTCCCTCACAGTCTTTCAGTCCCGCCTCAAAACACATCTTTTCAACTCTGTCTACCCATAAGCCCCCCCCCCCCCTCTCAATCAACTTCCTCTTGACTGCCTTTTTATTTTTTACATACTTGTTTGCCTGTCCTTGTTTGTCTACCCTCCCTCATACTGTAAAGCGTCTTTGAGTTGTGAAAAGCGCTATATAAATAAAATGCATTATTATTATAACATAACATAACACAAGCAAAAATACATACTTCAAGGATTCCTCCATTATTGAACCCCAAATTAGCACTGGATAAAACCATACAACTATTAGTCTCCCATCATATGTTCAGTCAAATGCTACTTAGCTTTTATCTTTTGGGTTTTAATTGTAGGTATGCCCTCACTGGATCTACGGGTATCTGTAATGGCAGATCTTTCCTTGCTGCACAAGAAAGGTTAATGTTCACTTCGACCAAAAGTTATTTTTTTTAATTCATATTGATTGAGTCTAGGGTTCACTTTGTTGATAAAGGAGCTTACATATTTTGACCTTTAAATATTGCTACCTTAAAGTGAGGACAATTGTGTGTGAATTGTGTGTTCTCAGGGTGTTAGCCTAACACAAGCGAAGGAAAAAGGTCAGCTGGTTTTCCTGGAGGGACAGAAAGAGTCGCTGTCTGTTTTGATTCCTCAAGAAAACGACACAGGAAGTCAGGCCATGGACTTCCTCAGGTACAAACTAAAATAATCACTATTCATGTTTTTCCACAGTTTGTTGCCTCTCTCTCATTCCTCTGTCTGCCAGAGGTGGGAAGTAGTGGAGAACAAATACTTTGTTACTGTACTTAAGTACATCTTTCTGATATCAGTACTTTACTCAACTACTTATTTTTCTGACGACTTTTTACTTTCACTTCTTACATGTTGAACACAAATACCTGTACTTTCTACTTCTTACATGTTGAACACAAATACCTGTACTTTCTACTTCTTACATGTTGAACTCAAATACCTGTACTTTCTACTTCTTACATGTTGAAACACAAATACCTGTACTTTCTACTTCTTACATGTTGAACTCAAATACCTGTACTTTCTACTTCTTACATGTTGAACACAAATAACTGTACTTTCTACTTCATTACATGTTGAACACAAATACCTGTACTTTCTACTTCTTACACTTTGAACACAATACCTGACTTCTACTTCTTACATGTTGAACACAAATACCTGTACTTTCTACTTCTTACATGTTGAACACAAATACCTGTACTTTCTACTTCTTACATGTTGAACTCAAATACCTGTACTTTTCTACTTCTTACATGTTGAACACAAATAACTGTACTTTCTACTTCTTACATGTTGAACACAAATACCTGTACTTTCTACTTCTTACACTTTGAACACAAATACCTGAACTTTCTACTTCTTACATGTTGAACACAAATACCTGTACTTTCTACTTCTTACATGTTGAACTCAAATACCTGTACTTTCTACTTCTTACATGTTGAACACAAATACCTGTACTTTCTACTTCTTACATGTTGAAACTCAAATACCTGTACTTTCTACTTCTTACATGTTGAACTCAAATACCTGTACTTTCTACTTCTTACATGTTGAACACAAATAACTGTACTTTCTACTTCTTACATGTTGAACACAAATACCTGTACTTTCTACTTCTTACATGTTGAACACAAATACCTGTACTTTCTACTTCTTACATGTTGAACACAAATACCTGAACTTTCTACTTCTTACATGTTGAACTCAAATACCTGTACTTTCTACTTCTTACATGTTGAACACAAATACCTGTACTTTCTACTTCTTACATGTTGAACCCAAATACCTGTACTTTCTACTTCTTACATGTTGAACACAAATACCTGTACTTTCTACTTCTTACATTTTGAACCCAAATACCTGTACTTTCTACTTCTCACATGTTGAACTCAAATACTTGTACTTTCTACTTCTTACATTTTGAACCCAAATACCTGTACTTTCTACTTCTCACATGTTGAACTCAAATACCTGTACTTTCTACTTCTTACATGTTGAACACAAATACCTGTACTTTCTACTTCTTACATTTTGAACCCAAATACCTGTACTTTCTACTTCTCACATGTTGAACTCAAATACTTGTACTTTCTACTTCTTACATGTTGAACACAAATACCTGTACTTTCTACTTCTCTCATTTCCCAAACAGCTGGTTCCTTTAGTCTGAATGTGTGTTTGGTGGCGTGATCATTATTCTTTAGAGTCATTGTGTGCCTATTGATTTGAACACGATCCGTGTATCCATCATTTCCTGGTCTTCTCTAAAGAAGAGGGACCAATGGAAACGTTGTCATGTTGCCGTTGTTCAGCATGGAAACATTCATTAGCTAACAATGACATTATTGTTCTATTGATATAAAGGGAGGTCAGGTACTCTTTAAAACAGCTGCTAGTTATGGGTACTTTTGACTGAAGTACATTTCAAAGCCTCTTTACTTTTACTTGAGTAAAGAAGTTTAGTCAGTACTTCTACTTTTACCAGAGTACTTTTAAACACGAGTATCTGTACTTCTACTTGAGTAAAGGATGAGTGTACTGTTGCCCTCTCTGCTGTCTGCAGGGATCCTTCCGTCGGCCTGAAGAGTCTCTATGAGTTTGTGCGCTCCGCTGTGAGCAGTAATGGTGAGGAGGGGGGGGATGGGTCAGAGGAGTGGGGGCCCCCGGTGCTGCTGGTGGACGACCTCAGTGTGCTGCTGAGTCTGGGGGTGAGCGCTGGAGCCGTGCTGGACTTCAGCCACTACTGCAGGGCCATCGTCTGCTCCCAGCTGCAGGTAGGATCTTCTGTCAAAGCATGATTTTAAGGTTGCAACTGCCAATTATTTTCAATACTAATTGATTAATGGAGTTTTTCAAAGTCCAAGGTGCTCTATTCATTTGAAACACTTTGTCCCCAGGGGTCAATTTGTAGAGCCACGTAGAGTTAATGATAGAAGTAAAGTTAACACAATATAAGACAAGACAATATTAGCATACTGTACTAATTTGTTGATGAAATGAAATTGTAATAATGTCTTGTTTTGTCAGTCCAAAACGCAATATTAAGTTTAATTTGATGTCAAACATAGAAAAGCAGGACATGTCTATATTTGAAATTTTTTGCCATTCTTGCAGGTAAATGTAGTAATCTGTAACCAATTATCAAAACAGTCGCAGAGAAAAGATATTGACTAATTGTTGCAGCTCTACATCTAGAGGCTTTACGGGACGTATACTGTTATCAGTCTGCACAGCCAGGAGGTAGCCGGTTGTGATTTAAAAGGCATTTTCAGTTTTGCTTTCATAAAGTGTATCTAACTTGTATGTACCTGCTTTAAAGTAGTTAAGAGAAAGTAAAGAGCTTTAAGAAAAACCCTGTCTTATCACCATAACTTTGTCTGTGACTGCAGGGTAACGTGGTGATGCTGGTTCGCTGTGATGGGGAGGGAGAGGAGGACGAGGGAGATGATGAAGGCTCAGAGAGACTGATGAAGGGCCTCACCCACCAGTGCAGCCTCACTCTTCATGTACAGGGTCTCCCAACCGGCTACTGCAGGGACATACACGGGCAGGTGAGTGTGTGTTTGTCAGCACGGTCTTTCTGTGTCTGATTGAACACATTTTCAAACCCTTAATTGTCCAACTGGACTGCATGACGTTAAGGGTGGTGCTGCGATTTAAGCATTCTCATTAATGATGAATCTGCAAATGAATTCCTTGCTTTAATCTTTTGTCTACAACATCTCAGAAAATTGTGAACTGATCAAGTCCAAGCTGAAATATTCAAAGTGCTTGATTTGTCCTATTGATGGTCCACAACTGTTTCTTTTTGCTTTATCATAGGTGTTTACAAGCATACTTTTTTCACTTTTGTAAAAAATAATATTATGATTAATCAATCTTCTAATTTGTTTGTTTTACCTCAACCTGATCTGATAAATAATGTCAGCCCTTCTTGAGGAGCTCGACATCTAGATTTAAAAACAAATCTGCATTTGTGCTTACAAATATTACCAATGTAACCATTGATTGCGCAATAAAACACCTGGATGTACTAATGGAGGGCTTATTTTCAAATTGTCCCTTTTTAAAGTAAAATGTACCAAAAAAACGTTGAATTCTTGCAATAAATATATAACGTTCTTGTCTTTCAGGTGGAAGTGTGTTGGAGGAGGAGACAGGGCGACGGGCAGTACACTCAGAAGAAACTCTTTCAGTACAAGGTCCACGATAAAGGAGCCTCCTTCTTCGCTCCCGGGACATCCAGCGCTGTCCTCTAGTCTCACCTCTCTATCCTCGTGGAACTTCTTCTTTTACATCTGACCACTGACTGTTTATATTTGAATAACACCATGTCAGGGGTTTAGCTACCTAAGGGTTTGGTGAACTTCCCAAACATTCAGAGTCAACGACCCAGCCTGGAGCCTAGCCGATCTTTAGGAAGGACACTGTGATCCTGCTAGTCGACTGCCTGGTCTCAGATCTCTGAATTGCTTCACATTTCTAAGAATAGTTTTTTTCAGCTATTCCAATAAGTTAAGAGAAGACATAATGACTATACAGTCTGATTGCCAGGTACAATGACCACAAGGAGACTCAAAACTACATATAGAAAACCAAAACCACAACAAAAAGAGGCTACTCACCTGTAAAGTCTGTGTGTTTTGCTCCTATGTACGAGAGGTGGTAGGGCTCTTTGCATATCTGTGCCCCACTCTCTCATAATCAGCCCATGTTTCCGTCTTGAATCATGATGCACTGAATGTATTTTGGTTGAATAAAATGATATAAAACAGTGGGAGATGTTGTCATTGTCAGTGTGTGAACAGTAGAGGTCGCCCTGGCATTGCTCTCTTCGCTGCTGCAGGGTGAGAGTTCGGAGTGGAGAGGTCTCTGTCGGATTTGACAACCAGTGGGTTTGAAACGCTGCTCCTTAATGTCAGCATCCTATTCGATGCATCCAAAATAGCCTTAAGCTCATTTCCAAAACAAAGGAATAACCCGGTGGTTGCTCGTCAGTTCACCGAGGAAGCCCACAGCAACATCTACATTTGAGGATCTCTGAAGTTTGTCAAGGCAAGTGTGCTTTAGCTTTAGCCATGTTGCGAAATTTAGCTCAGTGGTTGCTGAAAGCATGGGAGCTTTTGGGTTGTTTAATCACTCCATAATTATAGCTTCTGAGTGTGGCTGCAAGGGTGCATTTGCTTGGCTCGCATGCTTCCTTATTGTCTCGTAGAATCAGATATAAACCCACGACATCCTGAAATCATCACATACAACTTAACATCGTCACTCTTCAATGCATGCTATCTTAATTTGCTTTCAGCGTTGTTTGCTACAAACTAGTCTGATGGTTTCACAGCCATGTGAAGCAGGTGTAGGAAACACTCAAACCCAGTGGCATGCATGCAACTAATGTGAAAGTGCAACCTTTTCTTGTTAGTTTGTTAAAATACATATTGATTGGGACACTGGGTTCATGTAGGAGCTAACATATCTAGCATGCTATTCATATTAGCATTTAGCTTGGTGCCATCACAAGTTGTCTGCAGGTGCAGAAAGAGTACGACAATATGAAGTAACGCCATACTAGGTTACTATATATATAAAGTTGTGGCCGTCAACATAAACAAAATAATAAATCAGCTAAAGTTAGTCCCTTTAAATGCTGTCGTTATTGATTGTTCATGTACGAAATAGTTAGCTTAGCTTACTCACACGCACTCAGGTAACTTTAGTAACTATTAGTGGCTTTGTCTTTAACTTCTATCATTTCATAAATGTTTACTTAAATCACCAGGGTGTTGGTGTTTTATTCCGACTGATATTAGTTCTAAAAACAAGTGTTTTCTAATGAGAAACCCTGCCAGAAACTGGTGGCTAACATTAGCTTCCACTAACCTTAGCTAACTATTAGCAATTTAACACTCAGCAGCAGGTCCCTGACATATAAGTAATTTATGAAACTACATTATCTGCAGTGGTCTAAAGTACATTTACTCAAGTACTGTACTTTAATACATATTTGAGGTACGTGTGCTCTACCCAAGTATTTTCATTTTAAACTTCTGCTCTACTTCTACATTTCTTTTAGAGCTGTATTTACTTTATACATTCAGATTTTGACACACCATTTTTAGGAAAATATGATCATTTGGTATTAAACCATCCAGGTAACTAAAACCACGAGTTAGTTAGCAGAATATTAATTCGCAGCAATTATGCCCAGAGTTGTTTTGTTCATATCATTTCACAGTTCGAGCCTCTTAAATGTGATGATTTAAAAATGTTTCTGCATTGACTACTTTTACTTCTTCAAATCAAATCAAATCAAATCAAGTTTTATTTATATAGCACATTTATAAACGGTTTGTGGTCGAGCCAAAGTGCTGTGCTTCTTATACTTACAGTACATTTTCCTATCATACATAAATACTTCTACCTAAGTACCCTTCTCGATGCAGTTTATTTGAGTATTTTTACTGTATGGTATTGGTACTTTTACTCAAGTAAAGAGTATAAACACTTCCACTGCTTATCAGGAAAAACTGCCAGGCTTATTTGTGTGTTAGCTATGGAAATATGTGTTCATTATTTGCATGGGCCAGCTCAGTGGTTTCTACACGGTCTCATGCCATGTCTCAATTACTGAATCAAGACTCACTTTTTCCTGGTAAATACTAAAGAGAAATGTTTGTTTTAAATGAGGCCTATGCGGTGTGTACTGAAAGATAACCCTGTCATAGATTACTCAATTTCAGCTAAATCAATTTCTGTCATTTTGTCTTACATGATGAAAGTACAATTACACTATAAGCTTGTTTGTGCCCCGTATCGATCCCTATCTTTAGGAGCCTCTTTGTTTGCTTGTTTCTTGAAAGTGCATCAGCCCCATTACCTCCGTGTTCACTATCTTGTGGTAGATATTTCACAATTTTTAACTTTATCTACATGATAAAGACAGTAACACGTGTTGAAAACTGATAAGTTTGACTCATTTTGGGAGTGAAGTATTCTTGAAACTATACGTGCATGATAACCGGCAGACATAATGAATCGCACAAGAAAAGAAATCTAAATGTAGTGTGTCATCAATGTCTTCCTCTTTCTCTAATTTATCAGAAATACAGTAATCCTTGCGCAGAAACGGACTGCCTGTTACACATAATTTACAATTGCATTATGGTTACTGATTGACAGGGCATTTCCCTCTTATGCCATCAGCTCTGGTTGTAAAAGGCTGTGTTGCAGTAGTGTGTTCATCCACATCGAGGTTGTCTTTACAGCATGGGCCTCACTGATCAGAGGAGCATTCTTCCACATTATGCAACCATAGGATTGGATTTTGATGCAGTTACGGAGAAGGGACACAGCTTAGAGCTCTCTGGAATGTTTTTGGCTATTGGTCTGGTTTTTGGCCTCTAGTAAGTCACTTGGAAGACATGCAAATGCATTAAGATACAGACAATTGCTGATAATGGCATTTGAATCTATAAGCCCCGGAGATGCCTTCAAGTTAGGCGTTTTAGCAAGTGTTCAGAAGAGGTAAGAGGGTCATTTTTGCTTTTTTCTTGAATCTTCTATTGCAGTGTATCTTATTTTGACACTTTCATAGTCTCATATAAAAAGTTAAGCCATGAACTCAATGCACCATTGTGCCTACTGTAATGTTGTACACATGAGGCTTTATACATCTACCTTAACCTACAAGCCATTTAATGAAGCTGCAGGGACTCTCCATGATCTCCCTAACTGAATTTGTGTTAGCAATGTGAAAGACTGTACGTTTGTTTGCTTGTTCCCCACGTGTGAGGCACATAGACTGCTCCTTGTTAGAATATTAGTTGCTCAGCATGTATGCTCAAAAGCACAGTGTTATCTAAGAGAGTTTTGAATGTAGATGCCGCGAAGATTTAGTCATGGTCTGTTGAGTTTAAGCAGAAGTGTTATTTTTATTCCCTCAGCTGCAGTAGCTGGTATATTCCAACAAAATCAAATTCCATCCGGCCAGACAGAATAGGATATCCGAACAATTACTGGTCGCCTGCCAAAGAGCTGAAGAGAACACAAACTCACCAGCTTGAAACAACAGTTAACCAGCTCTCAGCCTGTAGCTATTATTATAGAGTCTCTGTCAAACTTGTCGTGCATTTGAGATGTGAGAATCTAACCGTGCAACATATAGGGTAGATGTATACTGCCTAGAGGAGGAGGGAGGCAGCGGGGGTGGGTATAGGGCCCTGAGCCCTGCTCGTTGAGTCTCCGATCGGCTCAATCCCGGATTAGTTCACTGACGGAGATGCTGTTGAGCCTTTGCCAAATCAGGTCTCGCTGCTGCGCTCATGTAACCCCGCAGCACGCAGTGAACTGGACCAACAGCTGTGAGATGGAGGCTTTTATTCAAAGTTTTCCCTTGAGAAAAAGTGAACAGGACCAAAGCGTGTTTGAAAGTCGGTTTTCCTGCAGAAACGCTGAGCAGAAAGGCTTTACTTCAAAGCCTGTTTTGACCTTCTCAGAACCCATTGTGCAAGCCTTCCAGGAGGACGTTGCTGTTTCTATTGTATATGGTATTTATAACAGCAGATCAAGAGTCTCCTGAGGTCAATTCCTCCAAGGAAATGTTTCCGTTGCTCCCGGGGAGACGAGACGAGCAGTCGCACACTCTGCCTGAATTCAGAAATGAGCAACACAAGGCACTGCTTAAGCTAAACAAAAACAGTGCTGCTGCCTTCAGGGGACGTAAAGGGCTGCGAGCCAGAGAGATAACCTGGTCTCCCGTTAGCAGGTATGAACTCTTGTATAATGGATACAGCGTGGAAGCATTGTGCTGCATGGTTAGGGAGTAATACATGCTCCTTATTGACATCATGTGAGAAGCAGAGGCTTAATAATCAGTAGACTTGGATACTGTACACATGCAGCTGCAGCTTGTGTGCCAGGGCAGCCTTTTAAATATTTGTAACACAGTGGTGTGTATCTACAAACACACGATAGGCAGCACTGAGCAAACAGCTGAGATAGTGCAGAGAAGTCAACAGGAGATCCAGTTTATGTTGGAAACTGGAGGAACTGATTTTGTTTGAAGTGAGCTGAACGAGCCAAAAGGCCAATATTTCTTTTTGTTTTGGACTCTGGTGGTGCATATGTCTTTAGGCTGCAGGCAATCACTCAGCCATGTTACTGTACAATGTGTAGTTTTGTGTCTGCCTGGTAAACAAGTCAATATTATTCAAGCAATGAGGTACACATGAATTTATTGGTATACATACTTTGTTATCATTACACACGTCTTTGAATAAGTGAAGCCATCATTGTAAAGTTCTTTAATACAAAAAGAAATCGTCCGATAGCGATGTTGTTATTGTTTAGTGCAAGAAAAAACTAATTCTGTAATTTCTAGGGATGTAACGATATACCGAATATCGCGGTAAATAAACGTCCCAATACCGTCGTGAGACTGACAAAATCTACCGCGATTTTTTTTTTTGCATAACACCGGAGCCTCGCTGCGGGGAAACGTTGGCGCTGTTCCGAGTTTGTTCTAATCTGTCAAAATGACAGACTGCTTTCAGATTTTTCCGTCATTGTTAAATAAAATATTCGGTTAACGCGACCACTGCTGTCCCAGCAACATCAGAGTTTTTTCCAGAGCAGGGGATATTGTAAATGCCCAAACATCCCAGCTTATAAATACCTGGAAATGTGGACATTCTCATATTCCTAAACACCTGTCTGATGTTGCTGAGTGAGTGACTTAGTGAGTTTGAGTTGAGTTACTTGAAAAACTAAAGTGAAACTTGATGTATTTTATTGCAGGGTCTGATTATTAAATGTCCTTGTTTATTTGTGAGATGCAGTGGCACGAAGAAAATGCCTACTTTGTTTGGTAGTACTATAGGTACAAAAACACTGGTTTTCTTGTTCCAGTCTGTTACTGTCACTTTGTTTTTGACACTTTAAAATACTGCTATCCTACTAAAATGCTGTAGAAATCAGATTTATTATTTAATAAAGAAAAATCTTCCGAGTAAAAAAATGTTTTATTGAAAAAAAAAATTGAAATCTTTTTTTTTCTT